CAGTGGCAGGGGAGGAGTAGCGAGCAACGACAGCGTCGTACAAGGCCTGTGCTGTCCTGTGCTCGCCAAAGTGAGCACATTCGATCGCGGGCAGGTGGTTGCGAATGGCCAAGCGGGCAGTAGCGTCACGAGACAGCCACTGGGAACGAGTCGAAACGTCAGCTGTGGCGGGAGGGGCTAGAGCGGCACCGGACACGTGGTCAAACAGTGAGACACTGTCCTTACTATCGCTCAGTAGGTACAGTTGCAGATCTTCGTGCCACGTGTCAAATGCTACAGGTCTGCCCTCCGAGTCGAACGGGAGAACCCTAAGCGACGCCATAGTGGCAGCAGTAGCAGTAGCGAGGGGGGGGAGCCGAGGGGCCGAGGGGCCAAACACGAGGGCCTAGGGGCAGAGGAGCCTAGGGGGCCGAGGAGGCCGAGCCTAGGGGCCGAGGGGCCAAACAAGGGGTCGGGGGGGCCTAGGGGGCCGAGGGGCGGGGCCGAAGGGCCGAGGGGCCAAACAAGGGGCCGGGGGGCCTAGGGGCCGAGGGGCCAAACAAGGGGCTGGGGGGCCTAGGGGGGGGCGAGGGACCAAACATACGGGGCCGAGGGGCGGGGCCGAGGGGCCAGACAAGGGGCCGGGCGCAGGGCTCTGAGTTGGGGCTGAGGGGCCTAGGGGCTGAGGGGCCAAACAAGGGTCCGGGGGGCCTAGGGGGCCGAGGGGCCAAACACACGGGGCCGAGGGGCGGGGCCGAGGGGCCAAACATGGGGCCGGGCGCAGGGCTAGGTACGGGGCCGGGCGCTGGGCAGGTACGGGGCCGGGCGCTGGGCTCTGTATTGGGGCTGAGGGGCCAAACAAGGGGCCGGGGGGCCAAGGGGCCGAGGGGCCAAACAAGGGGCCGGGGGGCCTAGGGGCCGAGGGGCCAAACAAGGGGCTGGGGGGCCTAGGGGGGGGCGAGGGACCAAACACACAGGGCCGAGGGGCAGGGCCAAGGGGCCAGACAAGGGGCCGGGCGCAGGGCTCTGAGTTGGGGCTGAGGGGCCTAGGGGCTGAGGGGCCAAACAAGGGTCCGGGGGGCCTAGGGGGCCGAGGGGCCAAACACACGGGGCCGAGGGGCGGGGCCGAGGGGCCAAACACGGGGCCGGGCGCAGGGCTAGGTACGGGGCCGGGCGCTGGCCTCTGTATTGGGGCCGAGGGGCCAAACAAGGGGCCGGGGGGCCGGGGGGCCGAGGGGCCAAGGGGCCAAACAAGGGGCCGGGGGGCCTAGGGGCCGAGGGGCCAAACAAGGGGGCGGGGGGCCTAGGGGCCAAGGGGCCAAACAAGGGGCCGGGGGGCCGAGGGGCCGAGGGGCCAAACAAGGGGCCGGGGGGCCTAGGGGCCGAGGGGCCAAACAAGGGGCTGGGGGGCCGAGGGGCCGAGGGGCCAAACAAGGGGCCGGGGGGGCCTAGGGGCCGAGGGGCCAATTAAGGGGCCGGGGGGCCTAGGGGGGGCCGAGGGGCCAAACACGGGGCCGGGCGCAGGGCTAGGTACGGGGCCGGGCGCAGGCTAGGTACGGGACCGGGCGCTGGGCAGGTACGGGGCCGGGCGCTGGGCTCTGTAGTGGGGCCGAGGGGCCAAACAAGGGGCCGGGGGGCCGAGGGGCCGAGGGGCCAAACAAGGGGCCGGGGGGCCTAGGGGCCGAGGGGCCAAACAAGGGGCCGGGGGGCCTAGGGGCCGAGGGGCCAAACAAGGGGCCGGGGGGGCGAGGGGCCGAGGGGCCAAACAAGGGGTCGGGGGGCCTAGGGGCCGAGGGGCCAAACAAGGGGCTGGGGGGCCGAGGGGCCAAACAAGGGGCCGGGGGGGCCTAGGGGCCGAGGGGCCAATCAAGGGGCCGGGGGGGCTAGGGGGGGCCGAGGGGCCAAACACTGGGCCGGGCGCAGGGCTAGGTACGGGGCCGGGCGCAGGCTAGGTACGGGACCGGGCGCTGGGCAGGTACGGGGCCGGGCGCTGGGCTCTGTAGTGGGGCCGAGGGGCCAAACAAGGGGCCGGGGGGCCTAGGGGCCAAACAAGGGGCCGGGGGGCCTAGGGGCCGAGGGGCCAAACAAGGGGCCGGGGGGCCTAGGGGCCGAGGGGCCGGGGGACCGAGGGGCCGAGGGGCCAAACAAGGGGCCGGGGGGGCCTAGGGGCCGAGGGGCCAAACAAGGGGCCGGGGGGGCCTAGGGGGGTCGAGGGGCCAAAGAAGGGGCCGGGCGCAGGGCTAGGTACGGGGCCGGGCGCGGGTTAGGAACGGGGCCGGGCGCTGGGCCGGTACGGGGCCGGGCGCTGGGCCTGAATGTGAGCCGAGAGACTGGGCCGGGCGCGGGCGTTAGGTACGGGGCCGAGCGCTGGGCTAGGAACGGGGCCTAGCGCGGGCTAGATACGGGGCCGGGCGCGGGTGTCGACGGGGTGCTGGCTAGGAACGGGGCCGGGCACGGGTGTCGACAAGGCGCGGGCATAGGTACGGGCCGGTCGCGGGCGTCGACGGGGCGCGGGCTAGGAACGGGGCCTAGCGCGGGCTAGGTACGGGGCCGGGCGTGGGTGTCGACGGGGTGCTGGCTAGGTACGTGCTGGTCGCGGGCGTCGACGGGGCGCGGGCTAGGTACGGGGCCGGGCGCGGGTGTCGACGGGGCGATCGCGAGCTAGGTACGGGGCCGGGTCGTGGGCTAGGTACGGGCCGGTCGCGGGCGTCGACAGGGCGCGAGCTAGGGACGGGGCCAGGCGCGGGTGTCGACAGGGCGATCGCGGGCTAGGTACGGGCCGGGCACGGGCGTGAGAAAGGGCCGAGCGCGGGCGCGGGCTAGGTACGGGCCTATCGCGGGCGCGGTACGGGCGGGGCGCGGGGCTAGGAACGAAGTAGCAGGTGGTGGGCCCAATAGTAACCTACTCTAATACCATGTTAGATAGTAGCGAGAATGACGAGAGAATGGTTTACTAGGAAGCAAGGAAGGGTACAAGTACAATGTCGAGAGAGATTGTGTACCCCCTAAGGCTATACCCACTATAGCCTAGATAACTGTAAACACATGAACACATATGTTTGACACACTGCTTATATCTTCACCAAGGCCCTTGGGTCTGGTGTTCATCAGCATTTCTGCACTGCTCTAGGCCTTGTGCCTTCTCTGCCTCACTTGCTTGCTGCTTGACTTTGCCTTGTACTGTTCTCGATATATCAATACCTGCATGCTTACTCTTGCTAGGTTGTAATCACTGTACTGCTTGTGCTCTTATAACTCTGCATGTGAACTGGCTTGTAGTCGCTTGCTTGTGCTCGGACTGCGTGGTGATATTGAGATCGACCCTGAGCTTCTCTTTTTTTTTTTCTCTTGACTGGTCTTGTGACCGCTTGTTGTGTTTGCTATCCCCCCACTTCGCCTATGGGGGTGTGTCAAAATGTCTTATATGTTGTTTAGGCTGTAGTAGGGTAGACTATACTGAGTACAACCCATTAGGGTTAGCACTACTTTTACTTGTCATTCATGCTAGCGCAATCATTCCTGCCTCATATTTTCGACAACAGTCACACAAACCTACAGTATACAGCTACTACGACAATACCTGTACATTACTATCAAACTGCTGAAATACGTTCAAGTTACTCGTTTTATCTCAACAAATACAACATAGGTCTAAAGCCGAAATGCAGCCGAGTCCATCCAAGCAAACAACATCTCCACCACCACCGCTGCATAGGTCGCTTTTTCTTTGCTCCCACCAAAGCTGTAGACGTGGATGCTTGCGTATGTCAAGTGGCGCTCATTTGTATTGAGCATCCACACAAATCTGCAATCAAAGTTGCACCATTTCGGAAGCATTTGGTAGATTAGATGCTACAGGCCATACGGTATGAGCAATGCATTGCAGCGCAAGCATGTAGAGACCATTGTACCCCTCACAGTAGAACAGCGATACATCTGCCCAAAATTACCTGGGGAATGTCGTAACTGTACAGGGAATTGCGGAAGTACAGCCACGGATTGAGCCTGCACAGATCCACCATGGTGACTCCCTCCGATGCCGCAACCTCCTTTATGTCAACCGCACAGCGTAGTGATATATTTCTAACACAGAGCGGCGATGCCTTGGTTGGGTCGCGCTCCACGCACAGAGAGAGGAACGTGGGGAGGTTTGAGGAGTAGCTAATCCCGGGGTTGAGATCCTTCAAAATATCCTCGGAGATGCCAATAAACTGAGCCACAGAGGAGCATGTCTTTCCTTGGGGACGAGAAATGCAACCAGAGAATACAAGGGAGCGTGGTTGACAAGGAAAGAGGTGGTCAACAGGGGTGATCGAGGACGCGTTCCGTTTCTTCTCTGCTCCCAGCATGCAGAGGCAACATGGGGGTTGTGGGATGCTTGGGGCAAGAAAGGACTAAGTAGTGAACGACCCCCTTACTTCCTGGGAAACCTATGGTGGGAAGCGGATTGATGATGTAGAGGAAGCTCAATGCATGGGGACACTACTAAGCATATGGCAGCACATGGCAGCACAGAGCAACACATGGCAGCACAAATCAGTACAAGGCAACAAAAGGCAGCACATGGTGCCCAGTTATGCATACTTGATGCATGCGAGATGCTCCCACAGAAAATAGGACGTGCAGTTCATCGTGTCCAACTCACGAGCGGGACGTAGTAGAAGGCAGAGCAAGCTGGTAAAATCTCATGCACAAGCTGCTCCCGACCTTGAGGAAGAAGCTTGGAACAGTCGATATCCTGGAGAAGAGGGAGTGAAAAGGTTGTGGGATGCTTGGGGCAAGAAATGACTAAGTAGTGAACGACCCCCTTACTTCCTAGGAAACCCATGGTGGGAAGCGGATTGATGATGTAGAGGAAGCTCAATGCATGGGGACACTACTAAGCATATGGCAGCACATGGCAGCACAGAGCAGCACATGGCAGCACAAATCAGTACAAGGCAACAAAAGGCAGCACATGGTGCCCAGTTATGCATACTTGATGCATGCGAGATGCTCCCACATAAGATAGGACTTGCAGTTCATCGTGTCCAACTCACGAGCGGGACGTAGTAGAAGGCAGAGCAAGCTGGTAAAATCTCATGCACAAGCTGCTCCCGACCTTGAGGAAGAAGCTTGGAACAGTCGATATCCTGGAGAAGAGGGAGTGAAAAGGTTTTGGGAGAGTGTAAAATAGAGGGAGTGCATGAGGGAGTGGGAGAGGGTGTGAGAGAGGGGGAGGGTGAGAGAGAGGGAGAGGGAGGTTGAGAGAGATTGAGAGAGGGTGAGAGAGAGAGGGAGAGGGTGAGAGAGAGTGGGAGAGGGTGAGAGAGAGAGGGAGAGGGTGAGAGAGAGAGGGAGAGGGTGCGAGAGAGAGGGAGAGGGTGAGAGGGAGAGGGTGCGAGAGAGAGGGAGAGGGAGAGAGAGGGAGAAGGGGTGAGAGATGGAGATGGTGAAAGAGGGAGAGAGTGAGTGAGGGTGAGGGGGTGAGAGAGGGAGAGAGGGCACAAAAAGAAGAACAAATCAACATGCTCAAGCGAGGCACAGACCACGCAACATGTTGCAGGTCTCACCGGGTTCATCTCCCTGAACTGCGTGAGCCTAAACACGGTGCACACAGTGCACACGGAGCACACGGTGTACACGGTGAGGCCATACATTGTGTACACGTCCTTGCACCTCCAATTACATATTGGAGGCGCTTCAGAACTCACCGGGTTCATCTCCTTGAACTGCTGCAGGGTGAGCCCAAACATGGTGTACACATCCTTGCACCTCCAGTCAGACCCTTGGACCGTTGTGGACGAAGCACGCTCCTGTCTCACGCTGCACACATTCAACAGCAACGGACAGCTACTGCTGCTACAACCACCAAACTGACCTTGAGCTCCAAAAGACATGTGTGCAGTTACAAAGAAACTGTATGGCGCGTTGGGAGCAGCAAGCGAGCTTACCACAGTAATAGCCATCAAACTGGTAGCTGGGAGGGCAGAGACATGTGCGGTGCTCGTTTATGTCGTTCTGAATGCATGCGGCCGCCATACATGGATTTTGTAAAGGGTCATTACATTGGGACGCTGGCGGGGGAGAAACAAATGAAGCAGAGGATTGCAAGCACTGGGTTGGCGCTGACGATAGAAGGGCAGAATGCGTGGGCACGGTAGGAAGGGCAGGGTAGACGAGGAGCACAAGTGATGTATGGAGTAATAGGCAGTATGGAAAAGCTATTTATCAAACACTCCCCACGGCCACAAGTAAGGCCAGCTCCCCACAGCAGCCCCACTCATGACATGCCAATCAGTTTCAACCTGAATGGATGGTGGCATGGCAACCAAGTATTCGAGCTTACACGATAAACCCTCCGAGTCGGGGTACTCAGAAGGGGCAGAGGTGACGATGGCAGGTGGATTGCTGTTGCCGTCGGGTACCTTCTGGTCGCCACGTGTTGCCTTCTGGTTGCCGCCAGCTGCATTCTGGTCACCGCCTGCTGCATTCTGGTCACCGCCATGTGCATTCTGGCCGCCAGGTACCTTTTGGTCGCCGCCAGGTGCATACTGGTCGCCAGGTACCTTTTGGTCGCTGCCTGCTTCATTCTGGTTGCCAGGTGCCTTTTGGTCACCGCCCGCTGCATTCTGGTCTTTCAGGTGCCTTTTGGTCGCCACCTGCATTCTGGTTGCCGCCAGGTGCCTTCTGGTTGCCGGGTGCGTTCTGGTCGCCACCAGGTGCCTTTTTGCCGCCGTCAGGTGATGGGTGGATGGCAGGTGCCTTAGCGTCGCTGGTGGCTACTATGGTGGTGCGGCCAGGTGTTGTGGTGAGGACGCCACCAGTGATGCAGCGGGCGGACTTCAAAGCCTTGCCGAGGGGCTTGGATATGGGGACAGGGAGAACAAGGCACGGGAAGGGCAAGGCACGGGGAGGGCAAGGCACGGGGAGGCCACCATGAGGGCAAGGTCGTTGATCAGGTGCGGGGTGAAGGAACGGCATGGGGAGCATGAAGGCAATCAGGGTGAGACTCTTGTCAGAACATTATAGCTTATACATTTGTGTAGGCTGTAGTGGGGTAGCCCATAAGGGGTACAACCCAATTAGGGTTAGTACTTGTACCCAACTGTTTGCTAGTTCATTCATCCTCGTTCGTTATTTTGACATGGAATCAGAGCAGGTTCCTTGGGCCCACCACCTGCTACGCTGCTAATAACCCCCCCTAGGCCCGTCGCCCCTAGGCCCGTCCACCCTAGCCTACGCGCCCGGCCCGTCGACCCTAACCTACGCGCGCCCGGCCCGTCGATCCTAGCCTACGCGGCCCGTCAACCCCTAGCCCGCGGCCCGTCGAACCCAGCGCCCGGCCCCGTCCCTAGCCCGCGCCCGGCCCCGTTCCTAGCCCACGCCCGGCCCCGTCCCTAGCCCGCGCCCGGCCCCGTCGGCCCTTAGCCCCGCGCCCGGCCTGGTACCTAGCCCGCGCCCGGCCCCGTCCCTAGCCCGCGCCCGGCCCCATACCTAGCCCGCGCCTGGCCCCGTACCTAGCCCCGCGCCCGGCCTCGTCGGCCCTTAGCCCCGCGCTCGGCCTCGTCCCTAGCCCAGCGCCCGGCCCCGTACCTAGCCCGCGCCCGGCCCAGTACCTAGCCCGCGCACGGCCCCGTACCTAGCCCCGCGCCCGGCCCCGTTCCGCGCCCAGTGCCCGGCCCCGTACCTGCCCAGCGCCCGGCCTCGTCCCTAGCCCAGCGCCCGGCCCCGTACCTAGCCCGCGCCCAGCCCAGTACCTAGCCCGTGCCCGGCCCCGTACCTAGCCCCGCGCCCGGCCCCGTTCCGCGCCCAGCGCCCGGCCCCGTACCTCCCCAGCGCCCAGCCCCGTCCCTAGCCCAGCGCCCGGCCCCGTACCTAGCCCGCGCCCGGCCCCGTACCTAGCCCGCGCCCGGCCCCGTACCTAGCCCGTGCCCGGCCCCGTACCTAGCCCGCGCCCGGCCCCGTCCCTAGCTCACGCCCAGCCCCGTACCTAGCCCCGCGCCCGGCCCCGTCCCTAGCCCAGCGCCCGGCCCCGTGCCTAGCCCGCGCCTGGCCCCGTACCTAGCCTGCGCCCGGCCCCGTCCCTAGCCCGCGCCCGGCCCGGTCGGCCCCTTGCCCCACTGTCACTGCTGCTACTGCTACATCTGCTACTACTGCTACTACTACTGCTACTGCTATCCTGCGTGCTGCACAGCTATGGCTTCGCTTCGGGTTCTCGTGTTTGATCATGAGGGCAGACCGGTTCAGTTTGACACGTGGCTAGACGACCTGCAGCTGTACCTACTGAGCGATTCTAAGGACAGTGTCTCGCTGTTTGACCTAGCGTCAGGCGCTGCTACTGCCCCTCCCGCCACAGCTGACAGTTCGACTCGCTCACAGTGGCTTACTCGTGACGCTGCTGCCCGCTTAGCCATTCGCAACCACCTGCCATTAGCTGAATGCGCTCAATTCGGACAGCATAGGACAGAGCAGGCCCTGTACGACACTGTAGTCGCTCGCTACTCCTCCCCTGCCACTGCTGCTCTAGGCCGCCTTCTTCTGCCCTACCTGTTCCCCGAGCTATCAGCCATTACCACAGTTGAGGACCTTGTTTCCCACCTTCGCGCTAGTGACGGTGGTGGAGGCAGCGGTGGGAGTGGCGGCAGTGGAGGCGGTGGGACTGGTAGCGGTGGGACTGGCGCTCGGCGTGTCGGTTCTTGGGGTGGCCAGTGTCAGCAGCAGCAGCGTCGGAGCGAGACCCCGTCTCCCCAGCAGCTTCGTGAGTGGTTTTTGCGTGGGGCGTCTGGGGGTAGTTGCCCGTATGTCATTCGCACGGGTGACCGTGCTGGTCAAACTTGCGGGCGGCTCCACACTGAGCACCGCTGCTTCTCCTGCCTTGACGACGCTTGGCGTGCTGAGTTTGGTGACGACGTCGAGCTCCCTCGCTGGGCAGATCTGCTTAAGTCTAGGATTGCTATCTTTGACCTAGACTTTGATGCTATTCTTTCTGCTATGTATGCTTTGTCTGTTAGTGCTGAGGGTGACTGTTACCGGTGTGTGCCGCCTGACCTAGGCATAGCCGCTGCTGCTCTAGGTGCTCGTGAGTCTGGTACTCTCCCTGGTACTGCGCTTGCTGAGGCCTTGCACACTTTCACGTTGGAATCCAGCGCCTCGCGCTGTTTCTTTCGTGACAGCACCACCCTCACTCCTCTTCCTGCACCTGTCCCGGTCAAACTGGCTGACCCCTCCGGAGGACCGCTCGTGGCCCGTTCCTCAACTATCCTCCCGTGTCCGGCTGTTCCGTCCGGCTCACTATCAGGTCTTCACCTCCCCTCGTTCTCTACAAACTTGGTGAGTACCGCTGCCCTCTAGCGTGTGTCGATCAGCACGTGCACACCGACGGGGCGTCACCTGGCCACGTTCACTCGTTGGCCAGGGTCGAGTCTGTACACACTCTCTACCGAGCCTTCTCAGGTAGCTGCGTCTCCTCAAGTGTCCGCGTCAGTTCAGGTAGCCGCCTCTTGCTCGTGTCGCCTCCTGTCGCACCAGACTCTTCTGTGGCACCACCGTCTGGGTCACCCCTCCCTGCCTCGCCTTCGTGGCATGCACTCTCGTCTTCTTCTTGCGCAGCAAGGGTCAGGTCGCTGATGTCTTGATCCCTTGGATCCGCACAGTCCGTCTCCAGCTCCGCGAGCGGTTCGGCCAGGACCTTCCTGTCCTGCGTCTGCACTGTGAGAGAGGTGGTGAGTTCTCCTCCAACCTCTTGCGGGACTTTTGTCGTGGGGAGTGCATTTTCCAGTCGTTCACGCTTTTGGACTCCCCTCAGCAAAATGGGATTGCTGAGCGCCGCATTGGCTTAGTAATGGAGGTCGCTCGTACCTCGATGATCCATGCGGCCGCTCCCCATTTTCTGTGGCCGTTTGCGGTCCGATACGCTGCGCATCAGCTCAACCTCTGGCCCCGTGTCTCCTTGCCGGAGACCTCACCTACACTGCGTTGGACGGGGAAGGTTGACGATGCGTCAATGTTCCGGGTCTGGGGCCCTCGTTCCTTTGTCCGCGATCCTTTGGCGGACAAGCTCTCCGCCCACGCTATTCCCTGTGTCTTCCTTGGCTTTCCCCCTGACGCGCCTGGCTGGCAGTTTTACCACCCCACGTCGCGGCGTGTCTTCCCCTCTCAAGACGTCACGTTTGACGAGTCGGTTCCCTTTTACCGTCTCTTCCCCTACCGCACTGCCCCTCTACCCCCCCCCCACCGCTCTTCCTTGCCCCAGGTCCCCCTCCGGTAGACACCCCTCCCTCCTCAGGGTCCTGCTCCCTCTGGTATGTCTCAGGTAGACCCACTCCCCGGGACTGTGCCTGTCGAGGTCGCTGTAGACTCAGGTGCTGCTAGAGGTGTTGCCTCTGGGGGTGCTGCGTCTGGGGGTGCTGCATCTGGGGGTGCTGAGCCTGCGAGTGCGGAGCCTGGGGGTGCTGAGCCTGAGGGTGCAGAGTCTGGGGGTGCTGAGCCTTGGGGTGCTGAGCCTGGGATTGCGGAGCGTGGGGGTGCGAAGCCTGGAGGTGCTGATTCTGAGGGTGCGGAGCCTGGGGGTACGGAGCCTGGGGGTGCAGAGCCTGGGGATGCGGAGCTTGGGGGTGCAAAGTCTGAGGGTGCGGAGTTTGGGGTTGCTAAGCCTCGGAGTACTGCGTCTGCTGGAGGTCCTGCGGGCATCCACCAGTCGTTCACACTTCTGGCCTCCTCTCAGCAAAATGGGGTTGCTGAGCGCCGCATTGGCTTAGTCATTCAGGTGGCTCGTACCTCCATGATCCATGCGACTACTCCCCATTTTCTGTGGCCGTTTGCAGTCCGGTACGCTGCGCATCAGCTCAACCTCTGGCCCGGTGTCTCCTTGCCGGAGACCTCGCCCACACTGCGTTGG